AACTAAAATTGGATTTGAAAGTTAGGCTGGCAAGGTGTTATATTTTCTCGACTCTGCTTTATGGGATGGAAGCATGGACACTTAACACGTCGACTGCTAAAAAGTTGGAAGCATTTAAAATGTGGGTGTATAAAAGAATCCTGAAGATATCATGGACCGAGCATGTAACAAACGACGAAGTCATGAAAAGAATCAACAAAAGAAAGGAAGTATTGGAAACCCTCAAGACACGAAAGCTGCAATACCTGGGGCATGTTATGCATAATGAGAGATACAACCTACTTCAATTGATTATACAAGGGAAAATCCAGGGCAAGAGAAGTGTAGGAAGAAGAAGAATCTCATGTTTGCGTAACATGAAGGAATGGTACGGATGCACATCAGTTGAACTATTCAGAGCAGCAGCATCTAAGATCAGGATAGCCATTATGATTGCCAACCTTCGTCGCGGAGATAGCACGTGAAGAAGAATGTCAAAGTAACAACTTTGACGTTTTAATAAGGTAGTATTGATGGTGTCTATTTAACCCTGGAAAGATAATCATATGGTGATGTACATAAAAGATAATCATGTGTTAAATTGACGCATGAAAATTATGTCGAGGTTTATACATTATTTGAATAAACTCTACGTTATTGCATATTCAATACACACATATACAAAATATAAATAGTACAGAGAATTTAATTATTTTTAATTTAATTTTAATTTTAATTTAATTAATTTAATTAAAAAAAGGTTGAATTTACCGAAAGTAAAGCTGAATATAGTGGCAAATGTCAATCATGAAATCAAATATTTCGGTTTGTCAGATTTGGGATTTTTTGAATTTATATGAAACAATAACGGGTAAATATTTGTCTCTTTCAAGATTAATAATTGCAAACATCTGTTGCTATCTGGCAACTGCTGCTTTCACGATTGATTATTAATTAACTGCAATTAAACTACAAAGAAACAAATATTCACTTATTCTTGTTTTATATAAATGAAAAATTACAGCATTCATAACATAATATAATCAAAATGTACTTTTGTAAAGCTTTATCATTTTATATTTGAAGCATACAGCATATACATTATAAAAATATGCCAACACTGCTAAACCGAAATTATTTGTTTCATGTTTGACATTTGCGGCTATAATCAGCTTGTACTTTTGGTAAACTCAACCAAAAAATCAAAAACCAAACTCCAAACTTATAAAAACATTTTTTCTTTAACTGTAAAACTTATTTTTTACTGTAATAATAAGATATTTTGTATTCTAAAAGAAATAATAAACATATCTTATATAAGTTCCATAAAAATTAGTTAAAGTTTGGACGCATGTCAATATTATGTGCTCTCTCTCGCTCTCGGTGCGGTAATCGCTGCATTCTCTTGCGTTTTTCTTTTTGGAAAGACAAATGAAAATCGACGTTAACCACTCTTTGGGTAATACGCATGAACTATAAATTTGTTTCAAGAGTGTCACTAAAACATCAATGTGCATCTAAATTTTTTAGGATTTCTATATATCTTTCTGTTTCTTTGGTAACGTAATAAATTGTAAAATTGGCCAATTTTCTGGAATATTGCCTATGTCATAGATATTATTGAAGATTTTACATAGTATTCTTAAAGATTCATCATCAAGAAGTTCAAACTGTACTCCGTCTGGTCCTGGAGCTCTCCCTTCTTTTAGTGATATTATGACTGCTGTTATTTCTGCCAATAGTATAAGTGGTCTTGATTCCGTAGGTATTGGGAACTCCCAATTTTCCCCCTCATGAAAGTAAACGGATTTTTAGAATATTTTTAGAATCGCCTAGCTGTAATCGCCTTTACTGGTTTTTTAAAATTCTTAATTTTTTTCTACTCAAATATTGGCATACCTCTAAAATGAATATGTTTTCAGCTGCTGTAGGTTTATGCGCTATGATTTAGATCAGTGCTTCCCAAACTGTGCGCCGCGGCGCCCCACAATATTAGACATAATCACATAATTACCTTCAAGTATTAAATAAACATTAAACTAAAGTTGTTATGACAACTTTTTAACTTTGAAAATATACCTATATAAAAATGTTTCCCATGATAAACGAGTTCAGTTATTAGTAATTTTATTTGATGCCGACAATATATCCTCGATATTTTAAATTCCACGAAACAATTCTGTCACTACTGTAAATTGACTTCGGACCGATAGGCCATAAATCACTGCCGGTCGGCAAATTCAATCGTCTCTTAGCAGGTGCACATTTTAAAACTATAAATTTTTACTTATCTAAATTTTAGTTAGTTGAATTTGTAGTTTCATACTGTTCGCATCGTTTCGTTTATCAGTGTTAATATAAACAGGGTTGTTTCACCTACTTGTGTGCAAAAGTTACTCTAAAAATGGAAAAGTTTTTGAATTTAAATAAACAAGGTGGTTCTAAAAATAAAGTGGATGCACCACAAACTAGTGGTAGAGTCGTGAAGAAACGAAAATACCGTAAATATGATGACAGCTATTTGGAATTTGGCTTTACATCAACAAACGTCACTGATAAAGAGAGACCACAATGTGTATTGTCCCTGAAACTTTTGGCTCCAGAATGCATGCTTCCAAGTAAGTTAAAACGCCACTTGGAATCCAATCATCCAAACTTTGCTGACAAACCTCGTAGCTTCTTTACCAGGAAGTTAAATCATTTGAAGCAACAAAAAGGTAACTTTTCCAAGCATTTGTCGATACCTAAAAATGCTTTGCTGGCATCATACAAGGTTGCGTATAAAGTTGCAAAGTGTAAAAAGCCCCACACAATCGCAGAACAATTAACTCTACCGGCTGCTGTAGATTTGGTAAACATTATGATCGGAGAATCTGCGGGAAAACTTCTTTCATCGGTGCCTTTATCTAACAACACCATCAGTCGCAGAATTCAGCGTATGGCGGAGGATCTTAATGATCAAATAATTGAAAAAATAAAAGAAAGTGAATTTGCGTTACAGTTGGATGGGACAACAGATTCTAGTAAATATGTACACTTGATTTGTTACATAAGGTTCTCGGATGATAATACCATTGTGGAGGATCTTCTGTTTTGTAAAAAAATCACTGCAAGTACACAGGCGCAAGACTTGTTCGAGATCCTGAATACATTTGTGGTTGAAAACAATTTGGAGTGGACAAAGTGCGTTGGTGTTTGCACTAATGGTGGTCGTTCAATGTCTGGCCGTTATGGAGGATTACAGGCGCTTGTTCGAAACAAAGCTCCGGATTCAGTATGGACCTATTGCATCATTCATAGAGAAGCGCTTGCATCAAAGAATCTGAGTCCTTCACTAAATTTGGTCTTAGAACGTGTGGTAACTGTGGTAAATTATATAAAAACTAGGCCGGTGAAAGTAAGGTTTTTCAAAAAAATGTGTGAGGATATGGGTGCAGAACACACGTCTCTGTTATACTACTGCCACTCACGTGACTCTCTTGTGGTAATGTTTTGTCTCGTACATTCCAATTACGGCAAGAAATGTACATTTTTCTTGAAGAAGAAAAACACCTGTATGCCAAGTACTTTGTAGAAACGGATTTTTTGATTCAACTAGCATATTTATGTGATATCTTTGAAAAGTTAAATGCGTTGAATCTCTTCCTGCAAGGCCGTAACACGCACATTTTAAAATTGGCGGAGAAGATTTCAGCTTTCAGAAAAGAATTAGAAGTATGGAAGAGAAAAATTAATGATAATAATATCAATGATTGTTGTCCCTTGTTGCAGGAGTTTATTATCTCCAATGAAGTTAATATCTCTTGCAATATTAAATCTATTTTTGCGGATCACTTATCAAAGCTTATCAAATGGTTCGAAAAATAATTTCAAGCCGATAATATCGACCAGTTTGCATGGATTCAAGATCCATTTAGAGCGAAAACTCCTTCTGAATTTACTTCTTTAGAACAAGAAAATCTCATTGATTTGGCTTGCGACAATACGTTGAAGACAAAGTCTGGCTGCACGGAACTAACGGATTTTTGGATATCAGTAAAAGACGAATATCCGCTGCTGAGTGGTAAAGCTCTGCGCATCTCAATTCCATTTGCAACATCCTATTTGTGCGAAGCTGGGTTTTCGGCGGTCACTGTAATAAAAAGTAAATACCGTGAGAAAATTAACGTGGAACAAGAAATGAGGGTAGCTGTGTCCAGTTTGATTCCGAGATTTGAAAAGTTGTGTAATGAACAAGAACAAGCTCATTTATCCCATTAATTACTGTAATTATTTTTTCAATAAATTGTTTGTGAATTTAAAGTATGTTTAATTATTATTAAATTAACCCAACCATATCAACTGCAACAGAAACCGTATTAACTACAGTTAAAGTTAGACGTTAAATCAATATTTTGACTCAGGGTACCGCGGAAAAATTGTAGTTTATTAATTGCGCCGCGAACTAAAAAACTTTGGGAACCACTGATTTAGATAAAACTTTTACTGCACCAGTTTAATATTGGCCGCATCACAAGATCCATACACATAAAAATTTATAAAAATCGTGCAAGCTGTTTCCGAAATAATTAAGGCTTTCCATACATAGAACTCACTCTGTACATTGAGCATGAAAAGAAAACAAAAGCATTGTTTAAAAAAATATTTAAAAAAAGGCATAATTACCCTCTTTCCGGGTGGCAGCACTATTTGTTTCTTTAGTTTTGAGTATTAAAGAATAAAAAATTGGTCCCTCTAATTTCAAAATCAATGTTTTGGTATAAGAAAAGTGGATATTTTTTGTAGAATTTGTCATATAGCTAAATGATGAGCCTTTAGATACTACAGAGCTTATATCTATTTCTATTGTATACACGTAACGCGTATATAAAATAAATTATAACTTGTCTGTATCTTTACAATTTATGAAAAATATATATAATAAAAATTAAATATTTATAGAATTATATAACTTTACTGCACTACACAAAAAACACTTGTTGCAAAATCTATAAACTATGAATAAAAATAGATAAGATTCTGTAACAAACTGATACTCGCGGTTTATAGTTTGTAGAAATGACAGAGGTAAGTACCAATTAACTAATTGCTCTTAGTACAGGGGTAGTTTATTTTTTGTGTTTCTAAACTAAATGTCATGGCGATTATCATAACTATTTAAATTTTAAACACCAGTTTGTTATGGAACTATGGGTTTTAAGCATGAAACTGTTCCTTTTTTTCACAGTATGTTTATCAGAACTAACAATCACAACTGAGGTGATTAGATGCTAAGGGGTACAACTGATAAAATGGTTAAGCTGAGAAAAACGAAGTCAAAGTTAATTTTATATAGTAAATTCTACATCGCATTAATTACTCATCGACTTATGTTGAATTAATTTTAAACATTTTATTTATCTAATTATAAAGGCGTTTTTACAGTTAGTAGTTATTTCCATTCAAAACATTTGACATTTTGAAAAAACGTTTGCACTTCTACACCTCTGCTTCAAATTTTGCACTTGTTTCTTTTTGTCACTTAAGAATTAATTTCTTAAAGAAAATAAAAGAAAAATTACGTTAAACATTTTATTCTTCAAACAAAAAAAACCATTCTATTCTTAAAGAACAAACACTTTATTCTTCAAACAAAAAACATTATATTCTTAGAAAAAACAGAAAGAACACACATTTTATTCTTCAAACAAAAAAAACATATTTATTCGTCTTAATCTGAGACCAGGTCCAGTTAAGTGTCTTCTTCATTTTCCAAAGGAATATCCACTTCCAATTCTTGGAAGTTCCTTTCATGTTGTAGGTTATTAAAGGATTCGCGATTTCGACCTTCATCGTGGCTTAAATTACAGTAAAAATCATGGTGAATGGGAGATATAAAGGGTAAAAGTTGTATCAAATTTTTGTATTTTGGGAGTTTTATTTTGATGGGATCTTGGCGGAGAGATCCTTATATCATTACAAAATAATGTGCAAGGTGTCTGCTTTTAGAAATCAAACCACTGCATTCTTCGTAAGCCTTTCACTTTGTCGTTCATTATCTCTGTTAACGGAGCTATACTTTTAAAATCATTTACATCCATTTTGTTCACCAAGAACTTTTTATTATATTTAGCTACAACATTCATCCAATCACTGGGGACAAACACAAAGGATGTTTTCCTTTTTAGTTTTTCAATCATTCCAATGTTTTGATCACATTGCATAAATGAATCACCAGATATTAAAAATTTATGATCTATAGTTTCAATTTGTGTATATGGTATAACATAGTTCCAAAATTTAATAATATGGTTGTTTTTGTTTTGCCCTCCTGCATTATTATCTCTTCAGCCCCTCTTGACGCTTCTCCTTCATGCCACATGAACATTTGTGCTTGCTATACCTTTAGTAAGGCCATGAATATTAAAATTATAGGTCCACAATTGCCTCAGGTAAAATACATTGTTATTAGTCAATAGGGATGTCGACAGAGTCCTTTCAAGATCAAATCAAATAGCTACTCGATCAGTAGATCCTACAGCCTCAGCTTTTGCTTTATTTTTTGCTTGTCGAGCTTTATCTGCTTTTTTAAGATGAACTTCTTTATTAATCTTTGCAGCAGCTGCATCTTCCGGGCATTCCGGTTTTTATTGTGTTAACAAGCTAGTCACATAATGTACATGTATTTGTATAAGACCTGTGGAAACTAAAATTAAAGAATTCCCCACACCGACGCGAAACTTTTGCGACGCGAAACCGTTGCGGAACATTCGCAGGCGGAGCACTATTAAATTCATTATATATAATGAAAACTTACCATTTTCTGCTAGAAATGACCCTATATTATCCCAGACTTTATCCTTTTTTCTTATATTTTTATAATCTTCGTCACTTAAATCATAAATTATAGGATATTGTTTCACAATTTCAATTAGTTTTTCTGTAACAGCCATTTTAATAATTCACGCGAAACTATAACTTGCTATAACATTCAATCAACGCTATAACTGCAGCGGAAAAAACCGTGCATGCAGCGTTTCATGAAACGTCAACGCTGTTCTGCCGCGACCGTTCCGGTTTCCGTCCGAACTTGTCTGAACACATGCATTAAGTCGCCGTGCCTTACGATTCGCCGCGATTCCGCTGCGAAAGTTTCGCGTCGGTTTGGGGAATCCTTTAACAGTTATTGAAAATATGGCGATAGTGGCTGATTTTGACAGGTTGTTCATTGTGTTCATTATAAAATTCTTTGTAAAGTTTATACATTTTATTGACATTTAATGCAGGATCTAGATATTTTCGATTTGGACTGTGATGGCTTGTATAATGACTTTTAAATTTTGGGACTGAGTTTATATGTCTCTTCACAAAAAGGTATGTGTTTTCCTTTCTGTCAGTAGGTGGTATGTCAGTGGTAAAGTCAATTTTTTTTCTCATACTGTTAGCAAATCGTGTGTTGCTTATATTAAAAGTGCGCAAAAAAATGTTTGCATATACGTTTTTCATTAAAATGTATAGTTTATTTCATTTTCGGAGAACTCTGCATTTATACCTACCGCAATGGGGATAAGGTTGCACTTGTTTAGCTGCGTGAGCTTCCCTTTTTGTCCTACGTACTCTGGACTACTATTCCTTTTTTTCTTTGCTTGCAAACGTTTCCATTTTTTTGGATTTGGATTTGAAGAATGGTCTGAAATCTCGCCAATACCATTTGAACTGCCACGATCTGAGTCATCCTAAGTGATTATTAATATTAAAAATTGCAAAATCTACCAACTTCTTCGATTATTCTAGTTTAAATAAATTTATGTATACCCTAATAGCACACGTACGTCCAGTGGACGTCCATAGTACGTCCCTCATGGACTTTAGGGACGTCCCTCGAACGTCCGCTTTGGTCCCATTTACGTCCTATATTGGTCCAAATGTCGCTGCGCCAAACGTCCTATGGACGTCCATTTTACGTCCCGAGCGGACGTAAAATTGACGTATCGGGACGTTAATTCTACCTTAATCGAACGTTGATAATACGTATTGACGACTTACTGGATGGACTTTTGTGATGTTTTCGGACATCTATTTTAGCGCCGAGGATGTAAATTAGACGTCAACGCCATTGTATACAGTACTAAAAGTGGCGTCATCCTATGCATATTAGGAATGTATTTTGGGAAATAAAACGTAAAAGTTTAATGAAACTTACATTTATTATTAAATTTATTTATATTTATTTATTATTAACCAAAATTATACAAAAATGCAACATTATAAAAATATAAATCATTTTGAATAATAAAACATATATTGTTTAAAGGACCTTACATTTATTATTACATATATTTATATTTATTTATTAATAACAAATTGAACAAATACACTGTCAAAATTATACAAAAATGCAACATACACAAAATTACAGATAAAAATAAAATATACATGAATAAATAAAATAAGTACACATCTAAATAGCTATTGATACAGAAGGTTCAGACCATACCTATAATTGAACCATAATTAGTTCTGTGGTAAGGAACATGGAAATGCCACAGTGAATGAGAGAGGAATATGAAAACTAGATGAAGCAATTCAGAAGATTGGTTATTTTATGAATAAACCTTAAAAATAAAGATTGAAAGGTAACCCTTCTGGTAAGAGAATCCAGATTCAAGAAATTGATCATATCAGAATAAGAATATGGTCTACACAATTTACAAAAACAGTAGGTGCTTGTAGACAAGTCATATAAATCTAATTGACATAAAAAATGTTTTTTAATGTAATTATAACATAATCAGTGTAAATTGGTAGAAGTTGAACAACCAGGCAGGCAACATTGCTGACCAGTATGAAAGTGATTCTTCAGATGTACTGTCAAAAAATCAGTTAGTAATGCTTCGAAAATTTTAGGAATAGCAGAATTATAATGGAACAATAATTAGAAATCAATGTTTTAAGGATGAAATCAATAAATAAATTGTGATGGAAAGTGACCCTCATTCACGAGATTTATTAAAAATAAGCCATAGAAGCCTACATAAAAACAATGCATAATTCTTTAAAAATAAGGTAGGATATTCCGTCTGGACCAATACCTTTATTGGTATTAAGACACTGTAAGCATGGTAGAATGTAACAAATTTTAATAGTTAATGAGTGAATATGGCTGTGACTAATATCAGGTCTTTGACTTAATTTGGCTGGACACAAGAAAGAAGGATTGTGGATACTGTTATAGAAATTGGGAAAATTAATATGACTGTGGCTCACTAAAAACATAATCATTCAACTTTATGCAATTTGGAATATCAAAATTATTTCACTTGTGTAGTAGTCTACTTGGTAAGTAGACATGTCAATATGAGTTTTAAAATTAAAATTAATTAATTAAAGTTAAAATAAAAAAAGTCAATACTTGATATGGAAATACATATATCTTCCATAATTTTGATTTGTCTATTTTATTTCGGAGGTAAATAATTTTTTAGATATTTTTAATAAATAAAAATGTTTCTCAAAAATTGACTTCTGTTTTTGTCTACCGACCACACAATTTAACCATTAGATTTTTAAATTTTTATTTCGGCATTTGCCCTCTCCTTGGCCCTTTTGAGGTATTTCATGATGGCACTCTCAATTTCTTTTTCTGTGGCAGCACTAGTTTTCAAATTTTTCCAGGCAGCATCTAAAAACAAAATTATTGTATATTATAAACTGAAGAAATTAGTTTCAGATTTAATGAATTAGACTTTGTTTGTTGTGAATAAATCATCATGTGATTAAATTTAAACAAGTCAATTTCAAGTGTTAATGAATATAGCCTGAACTAGAAGAAGAATACCAACTCAACCATTGAGATTTATTTCTAATGACCCAAACATTTGTAGAGTCTGTAAATTTCACCATCTAAATTTTATATAGACACAGTTAACAATATGCTTTATCCTCTGTATGTGATTACTTGAGATAGAGTAAATTCTTAAATGTGCCTTAAATTGTTTTATATTTACAAGTTACAAACCTTTTATAAGCATGGCTATATTTGTTTCTGCAAAAGCCTTTTTTGCCTTTTTCCCAGCCAACTTTATTTGCCCTGCATATGGTTGTTGATGAGATTCTTAAGGCATCTTTTAATAAACTCATCAATTGTCTCCCCACCAATTTTGGAAAGCTCATTAACCTAAAATATAAATCAAAATGTAATGGATATCAAACTACCCCTCAAACTTGATTCTTAATTCATAATTATTTTAGCTTAAACTATCTAATAAAAAAAAGTTATTTCAATCTTTTACCCTACGCCAATATGTGGTAACAGAGTTTATATATATATATATATATATATATATATATATATATATATATATATATATATATATATATATATATATATATATATTTATATAGAAAAGAAATTTAATCTTTGCAGATAAGTTAAATAGTAAACTCTTAAATATTGGGGAAATCTGCAAGAAAAACTGTAATGTGTATCAATTGTTTCGCCTAACGTTTTCGCCAAAGAGAATTAATTTGGCTTCTCATATATATATATATATATATATATATATATATATATATATATATATATATATATATATATCCGTACCTCGGAGGTAAAGGACACTATGTCCATTTTCTTACTTTTTCAGGAGAGCAGTTTTAACATTTTTTAAATTTTTAATCAGTAAATACTCAAATGTTTCTTATATTTACCCAAGATTAATATATTATTATTGTGGTGTGTATAATCGTTTTTCCTTCCATGAAGTGTTATGTACCTGAAGTTTACCGTTCATTTTATTTTTTTGTTTAAATGTGTAGTTGGACATAGTGTTGTTTACCTCTAAAAACTTTTTTAAATAATGTGACATTGCATGTTAAGGTCTCTACGAAATAAACAATACAAATACACTAAACAGGCTATACTATTATTTTATTAGAGGTAAATATTATAATGTTATAATAATTAAATTAAGAAAAGTTAAATAAAGTAAAATTATAGACGACAAGTTTCAAAATTGTTAAAGAGGCTCCATATCATCTTCATCTTCTTGTGGGTAATCGTTTGTGGCTACATCGCTATGTGTTAAATTTTGATAAAGTGCATGACAAACTGACGGAAAAAGGCAGCAAGGTAATGAAGTCATTAAACTTTTGTTTTCTGATTGGTAATGGGTTTACTGAGACTTGATTTAATTGAGCTGAAAACGTTACTTGTTGTCTTCGATACCTCATGAAGTCCACTTCATACATATTTTGATTATTAAAATCGGTCTTATAAAAGAGCTTCCCAATGTGTTCTTGTTGGACTTGTAGGAGTCAACACATGTTGACAGTTCATTAACATACTTACTTACAAAAGGATGATTAAGTGACAATTTCTTATCGAACAGCGGTTTGAAGTTTTTAAAATCTGTAAGTTCCATATTGAGCACTGTGTATTTACCTGATGTTTGCCTAACTAGCTGTTGCCAGTTCCATGGTGTTAAAATGGCCAAATTGGAGAGTTTCTTTTTGATTTCTCTCGATTATAGCATAAACACTGTCAATTCCATATGTGTGTGCCCTTTCAGTAAAAACTTTTGAGTGATCGTCTTTATTTGAGGGTATGTACGCAGTATCCAAAAATAGCACATTATAACACTTATATTTTTATTTTGTCCATAGCAGTTATCGGTCCAAAGAGTGATGTCCTTTACTTGACTACCTGGAATTGTATTGTCAGTCCGTTTCAAAATTCACGAGGCAATTTCATTTGCACCTCGGAACCCTTTCGATTTGTCCCACATCATACATTGTACAGAAGAATCACTGCTTCTACAAAAGCTTCCTTTTATAGAAACTAATAGAGTTGTTTGTTAGTGGTGAAAGCAAACATTTTTACAAATCACCAGATAGTACTTTGTGTGGTGACTCTTTAGCCATTAAAAAGTCCAATTGTTGTAAGTTATACCAAGCTTTAAATTCAATTAGGTGAGTATCATGATTAGCCTGTACACTGGTTAGTTCATTTGCAGTATGATTATTTTTGAATTGAGCTGTGAATGTACTGCATGTATCGCAAGTGTCTATTTCGGGTTTCCAAGTTTTCAAACGAAAACTTGGAAATCTTTGTTAAAAATATCTGCGTCGAATTACTTTTTTACTTTGGATCTACATGTCTTTCATTGCATTAATCAAAGTACAGTTGATACAACTTTTCTATCGTAAGTTCTGTGCCAAGATAATCTCTCTTACCCCTTTCTCTGGAATAATGAATCACGCACTTTGGGAATGATTTAATATGTTGATGTATACTATTTATGGTTTCGGTAGGAGTTTTATTGATTAGCGTGTGTCTACCTCTTTGATTAGCTTTTATTAAACCTCCTGGCTCAATTTGTTTCAACATATTTACTACTACTAAATTAGATATACAAAGTGTGTTTGAAAAAATAACCTTGCACACCCTCAATCGCTGATTGTTCACTGTAAAATGGTAGTGTAGTGTATTATTTTTAGATTTGGTAGAATTTAGGTCTTTTTTTGTAAATTGAAGAGTAGGTTGGATGTCGACACAAGAGAAGATAAATTGCTTTTTAACATCTCAAACGTTTGTCTCAGTCCAGTATGAGTTGAATTTTTTTTTTTTTCGTATTCTGGCAATCTTTTAGAGCATTTCATGCGACACATGCAAAGAAGCTTTAACATTTTTGCAGGCATGTTTTTGCCTTTTTTACTGAGATACTCTTTCCCGCCA